GCAGGGGAAAAGTGTCATTTGAACAGTCTGTAGAAGTGAAAAGTGACAGCGTGCCTCAGCTGGCTGAAATGACGACAGCTCCACTTAAAGCTGTGCGTTTGCAGCACTGCGGATCTGATCGGGTTCAACCCTAGACTGCAAGTTCCCAGTCAGTGAAAAGCTGGTTGAGCGTTCATGGAATTAATTATTCTGAACGTTTTACAGCATTTAGTCCTAGTATATTAACGCTTGCAGAATCTATCTGGAAGTTTATCCTTCTTTCTTTGATAACAGTGTGATTGATTTACGGATGGCTTCTGGCCCATTTTTCTACCAGTGACTATCATGGATTTCAGCACATTTTCTTTTTGACCTAGGTTCCTTTCTTTTCTAACATGTTTTTATTCTCAAAGCATTTTCTCATGACTTGCTCTCACACTCTACACCTGGAAGAGCATTTCAAGATGCTTAGTTTTTATACAATCTTAAAGCAATTGACTTCACAATTACCTTAATTCAATTGCAAATGATTCTGAAATCATCCTTGTGTTCTACAGAAAAGCTTCACACTTTGTATCAAACTAATTTTTCATAATTTCTACCAGAGCTTCCATCCCAGTTCATCAGAGCAATGCAGCAGCAATCCAACAAGATTATATTCTATACTAATGTTTCTCTGCAAAGCAGAAGTTATTCCCAGATTTGGGGTGAGGCTGTCACCTCTGTGCAGAACTCTGGATTACTGGAGCTCTTCCTGGGGAAATCCGTTTTGGATAGAGAAGCTATTACAAATTCATTAATATTCTATCCAGAATAGATAGGCTTTACACTTCCTCTGGTGTTGCCGTAAATGTTAAGATCTCAGGGAGTCTTCTATTTTCATAAGTAGAGTTCTACTCACTCATTGGGAAACTCAGTTATTTTCCAGGCATTGGGCAGAATAATTTTTCCACTGTTTTAAAAGACTACATTGTTGTTTTTACAGGAATGCAAGGCATTTTAGAAACGATGTACAAGTTTAAAAAAAAGTATCTCTGAAAAAATCTGCATCTAATATTTTGATGGGATGGTGGTAAGATTAATGTGACAAGCATCATTCTCACTGCTTACACATCTGGAAGCCAAGCATCTGAAGTAAAGCCCATCCTCACAAGACTTGCCCAAAGTTCTGAACTTCACCAGAATACGTGATGTCAGAGATTAAATTCATACTGAGCCAACTGCAAATAATCAAGAATACTAACATTTACATGTTGTATAGGCCCTGTGTGAATTGAAAACAACTGAGACTGGACACTTAATGTATGGCACAGGGGCCTGTGCTCCAGAGATTCTTTACCAACCTTCTGCATTATTTTACTTCTACTCTTCCTTCATTCCCTTTCAGTTTATCAGGTAAATAACATCTCTCGCCAGTGTCCCTCAGAAAGGTAACTTCAGTGCAACTGCAATACAAACTAAAACCAGCACGTATCCAGCCTAACTGTGTACACTGCATGTACACTAACAATTTAAACAATAAATGCTTTGAGTAGGGTTTGTTTTAGAGTGAGCAGTCTCAAGAATCTTGTCCAGGTTAAAATCCAGCTATGCAGAGAAATACACTGGTATTTCCTCAGCAAATACTTTTGCATTTACTGCACGTTGTACCATTGCTTTTAATAGAGACAGGACTTGTACTTACATAATGTACACAGGTTTTCTTTCTGATTCTCAGTACAGTGACTACAATCTTATCAGAGGTTGTCCATTTCTGAAGGAATTCTGCAAGCTTAACACAGAGTCTGGCTTTAACAGCCTAACGCTGGCAGTCAGGTTGTCCCTTTCTCACCTCCTTTTTTCTTCAGTTGCAGTGCCAGGATGGAACAAATGTTTGTACTCCACAAAAGTGCTGAGAGAGTTCTTCAAAATTCTACCTATGAGCTTTAGCTGGGAAGCATAATCACAATCTGACCTCCGCGTTATTGCCCCCCAGCTGTCAGTGAGTGCTACAAAGCCCCTGCTAAACCTCGTTTAACCAACAGATGGCGTAAGTTAAATCTTTGTTTTGATACTGAAGCTAAAGCGATGTTCACTAAGCGTTGACCGCAGTTAAATGAAGAATCATTTAAAGTAAAGCACTTAAGAAAATCACTGCCGTGATCAGAAACAAAGTATAATGTATTTATTAAAATATGCTGGCCACACAGTTTCCTTTGGAGGATGCACAGTCATTTGACTGAAGATGGAGAAGCAGCTGGCCGGCCATCACTTATTTAAATTCCCAGAACTCACTTTGGTATTTCTACCAGGATTTCTGAGAGACTCTAGGTTCTCACTTTTCAGAGCTGTACTAGCATTGCGCAGCAACAATTCAGACAGCTTAAAATGATGTATTACATAAATATGAGTGCGATTTCCTTCATAAGCAGCTTTAAAACTTCCACCTCAGCAGCTCTCAAGCTCTGGCTCGCAGATGGCTCCTTGGGGGTACTAGTGAGAGCTGGATATATTTGAAAATATTAACTCATATCAATATCAACTCAGAACTCACAGAACGTAGTATGTAATATGATAAACCCTTAGATGCTGCCCAGGAGAAACACAGCACTCTGGAACAATTTGGTCCATTTCAAAAAGCTGGAGGATGCACCTATATTGTGCTACTGATGGACACTTTTTTCAGATGACGACACTGAAAGGCCAACACTTCTGGATCTTCCAGGTTGACAAGCTCTAATTTACTGTCTCTCTTATCCCAGTCTTAGCCTAGTTTGAAACAGGTGGCAGCAGTCAGAGGATTGATGCAAACTCAGTGATCAGCTGAGGCTGTGGGTGGAATCTGCACGACTCAGAAATCTGCTAAATGCTTTATGCAAGGGCTTTCAAGCTGTAATGAGCTGAAAGCTCCCCTGTGAGAACCCTACTTATTTGTAACTTCTTGACAGGATAAGAACAAATGCAATGAGTTGATAGGTGTGACAGTGAAGTCATAGGACTGTACAATGATTTGGATTGAAAGAGACCTTAAGGATCCTATAGTTCCACCTCCAACTAGACCAGCTTGCTCAAAGCCCCATCCAACCTGGTCTTCCTAATGTCCTAATCTGAATCTATCCTCTTTTACTTTGAAATCATTACAGATAGTCCTTTCGCTGCATTCCCTGATAATGAGTCCCCATCTTTCCTCTAGGTCCATTTAGATACTGGAAGGCATCAATGATGTCTATCCAGAGCCTTCTCTTCCCTAGGCTGCACAGCCACAACTCTTTCAGCCTACACCTACAGGAGTGGTGCTTCAGCCCTCTGATCATCCTTTTGTTCCTCCTCTGGACTCTGCCCTAATAGGTCCATGACTGTCTTACGATGGAGGCCCCAGAGCTGAACACAGTACCAGACTATCTGTTGGGTCTCATGAGGATGGAGTATAGGGGAAGAATTTCCTACCTTGCCCAACAAACCCCTCATCCTTCAATGTAGCACAGTGTACTGGCTTCCTAGGCTGCAATGCACGCTGCTAGCTCATAGGTTTTTGTCCACCAGTCCACCAAATCAGCTTGAAATTGAACAGATATGATAACACTCCCTGGATTCCTAGTACACCACTTGGTGAATACCTTCAGAGAACGCTCTTCTAGAAGCAACTTGAAGTTAGAACAGCCTCTTGTAAATTGCCCAGTAATGAGAGAAGGACAAAGTACTGACATACAGTTCCTCATATGTTAGGAAATTATTTCATGAAAAACTCTGAAAAACAGGAAGTCACGAGCACTGGAACTCCCAGGATTACATTATGAAAAGCGTGACACTCCTGTTTGTGTCCAGCTTGGGTTCAAGAACTGAAGGAAGCCAAGTTGCTTTTTTTCCACTTTTTTTTTAACTTTAACCCAGATTCAGTACAAGACACAATTGCCCAAGAAAACTGTTGGAGGTCCTTGCAGTCTGCTCATAAAACCAAGAATCGATTCCAGCGAATATCTTCCATACAAACGATGGAGTTAACCTACTCACTTCCTAGCAATTTTTGGAGAGAGACAAAACCACAGTCATTAAACTGCCTGAACCACATTACCACCACAACTCTGCTAGGAGGAATAACAGTCTCAAACACTCTTTACTGCAAAAGCCAACCTACAATGACCTCCAGAGAGCATTACTATAAACCCTTGAAGGAACAGCCTATCTTTCAATCCCATCACAGCCTCTGTGTCCTTGCACACAACCAGCAACGTTGCAGAAGTGCTGCTTCTGCCTGCACTAAGAAGGCTTCCCTCCCTCAGCAGGTCTTGGGGCCTCCTCCACATGGAACAGAAATTACAAACCTTGCAGATATTGACTGTGGGAAGTTAGAGCTGACAAACAGATTACTCATTTTTGTTGCTGACCTGCTATTTTACTACACTTTGTTTCCCACCCAAGAGATCAAAGGCCAAATAGATTTTGCAGCAATTGCTCTGGCATTCTAGGTATGGAGGATTTCATCAACCATTCAAAACTTGGTGTTGAGCATAGGTCTTATAACTATGTTTTGTTGGAAACAACAACAAAAATCACAGTTCTTTTCTTTGAAAGGAAGTGGCCAAAGGTTTATTTCCAGAGTTTATCACAACAAAAGGAATGTACTGAAATTATATCATTAATATAATTAAATATGTACAAAAATCAAGAATGCTAACAATTAATGCATCATCCAAAATCCTAAGGAAGGCACTATAAGGCTTCAAAAGTTCTCCAGCTTCTCCCACTACCAAAATCATCACTATTTTGTAGTGTCCTGAGTAAAACATTGGCTTTCTCCTTCTACTGTCAGCTTACAACTCTGACTTCACTTTGAAAAACTCAGTTTATTCTATCTCTCCAGCAAAAGGTTGGAAAAGAAGATTATGAATAAATGTCCATCTCCATGTCCAAGCCAATCAAATGTTCTCAAAAGTCTTTCCATTATGAAACAGAAGTGAGAGCATACACATTATTCCATGAGATGTTTATGCCAAACACAAGCCAAGTCAGCCTGTGAAAGATTTTGAGAGATAACTCAAAAGTACTATATTTTGTAGATGACGGAACACCTTAGAGGTATCAATACAACAGCAGGCTTAAGGAGAGAGAGAGACCCTAAGAAACATAAGTGCACCACTGAAATCAATATCAAGTGTGCCAGAGCCAGGACTATAGTATTTAGCTAAAAACAAGAATCAGTGTATCTTCTTTGCTAGATCCTGAGATCCTAATATTTATTTTCCCTGATCTACATGTTCTAACCTGACATTCTGTAGGCAGGAGGATCTGCCAGTGCAGGTCAGTACGCAGGAAACTACCCCAGAAACCATCAGAAGAGCCATCTCTAGCCTTGCACTAAGTGCCAGCAGCCCTTTCCAGCAGAGAACAGTGCTTCTGGTTTTACTCCTTGTGTCACATCATGCACCTTAGATCTGCTCCTCTCCTGCGATGTCAGCAAGTAGTCCTCTTTGTCCTTCACAAAGTTTTTTCAGGGAAAAATAGAACAACAACAAAAAACACTGCTGGCCATCTGCTTCTTCTGGTGTTTAAGCAACAAGTCTCCTTGTCACTACTCTCCGAGATGCTCTCCAGAGACAGGTAAGATATCCAGGCTCTTTTCACACATGTAAGGGATGAGTCCATCTAAGCTCTTTTTATCCATGTAAGGCACAAGTCCCGTGTGACTGAACAGATACAGTTAAACCACGGAGAATGGCCTGCTCTTCCTTAGATTTACATGGTGTCTCAGCTGCTGCAGGAACTGAAGCAAGACAAGGATCCACAATGATGCCTGAGAAACACCCAGAGGAGGCTAATATCACTCAACCAATTCTGGAACTGAAGTGAGAGGAGGTTCCAGAAGGCCAGTAAGTAAGGGTGTGTGCGAAATGAAGATTTAGACAAGATACTATTAGGAAATCATGACAGAGCTCAGGGTGGTGAGGCCCTGGCACAGCTGCGTTGCCCCATCCCTGGAGATACTCATGGCCAGAGATGCCCTACGCCAACCAAGCAGGTGAGGGGCAGCCCTACCCACGGCATGGGGTTGGAACTGGGTGGGCTTTCAGGACCCTTCAGACCCAAGCAGTTCTGTGATTCTATGTGCATCTGTGGCCCCAGAGTGTTATTTCACCTTAACCCCCACCAAGTGGATTTGCGAATCTAGGTCAGCCACCCTGCTGAAAGGACACAACACCGCAACCCCGGCAGACCTTTATTTCCCTCTTTCCTCTTTATCTAACGCCTTTGTTATAATTAGATGCATTCTCATACGCTTCCCTCAAGCCCCAAATGCACCCCGTCGTATCACAGGCGTGCAGCTGACACACATCGTTCAGCTGAAGGACGCTGCACTCCCGCATCTCCTCCAGGCCTGCCATCGCGGTCAGCTTGCCGGACGCTGTCAGTACTGACAGCCGGGACAGCGAGCTCCTCCCCGCGTCCGAGGGCAGACAGCAACCCGGAGAGCAAGGCGCCGAGGGGCAGCGGGTTAAAAAACGCCGAGCTGCAGCGGAAAACCACACCCGCCTCAACGAACGGCCGCCCCGGCGAAGGCGGGGGGTGGGCGGGAAGCCTTTGAGGTTGCGGGCGGAGCCGGCCTGCCTCCGCCCCATCCCTCCCGAGGCCGGCGGCGGCGGCAGCGGGGAAGCGGCGGCGCTGCGTTCCTCCGAGCTCCACGGTGAGTGCGGCGCTCGGCGGGGCCGCTGTACTCGCCCTCCCGCTTAGCGGGGGACGCGGTCCGGGGGGGAGGAGGCCGCCCGCCCGCCCTGAGCCGCCCGCCCTTCCTCTGTGCGGCGCCGGGCCCTGCCGCCTGCGGGGCTGTGGCGGCGCGGACCCGCCCTGGCGGCCAGCGGGCGCGGAGCGGCCATCCTGCGGCCCAGGCCGCGCTGAGGGCAGCGCGCCGCTGCGGCGCGGCCGCTTAACGGGGGAGGCGGCGGGGGGAAGGCTGCGCTGAGGCGGCGCGCTGCGTTCGTTGCCTGCGGGCGGAGCTGCCAGCGCTCGGCGGCGGGAACGGGGCTGCGGGAGGGTCCGCTCCGGCCGTTTGGGTTCCGTCTGTCCGCTGCGCTGCTCCTGTGAGAGGGGGAAAGAGCAGAGATGCGGAGTTGAAGAAGAGGAGGGTTCTGTCACCGAGCGCACGGAGCCGAGTTAATATCTGCGAGCACGCGGTGCTGCTGCCATTGTTCAGGCTGGCTCGTTACCAACCCGTGATACCAAAGCGGAGGAAGACCACCCTAGGGACAAACATTAACATTGGGATGTTTGTTTTGTAACGATTGGCTTGAAAGCAATTGTGCTTCATCAGAATGTCCTAATGAACTTCTGGGGATTGTTGGTTCTTCAAAGGGCAGAGGGGGATTTAATGCCCGTGAAGTAGGAAATGCGGCAGACTCTTACGCCCTCTGGGTTTTTGATGTGCGTGAGGAATTGACTTGACGAAGTGTCAGTATTTTACCGATCCTGGGCTTTGTAGGACAGAGAAGATTCCCATACAGAGCTTTTCAGGAGTTTGAAAAGCTCCAAACTCAGAGAAGCAGTTCGGATGCTTTCCTACAGCAGAGAATACGCTGCAGGCGGGTGCTGAACCAAAGCCTTTAGGTCTTTCAGACTTCATTTCTAGCCGTACGGTGTTTTAATTGGACCCTTGCCTCCTCTCTGATTCCTTTGAGTTGAGTGTCAGCTGGTGAATGATGCGCTCCCGCTTTGATATTTCTAATAAAGCGTTTCTGGTAATGAGGAAGAGCTTACGCAATAATTGCAGAAAACCATAGAAGAAACATTATTGATATTTAAGTAGTAAATATAGTGGGAAATCTATTTTGCTAGTGTTCTTTAACACATATTCTCACTGTGGGCTTCTACTGTGTAATTTTTACTGGAAATTTTCTCCCTACCTGCAGTTATGATCTGTGTCAAATTCCTGAAAGGCTTAGAATTGAGGAGTGATCTCTTTCCCTCGTAGAAACAGTGAGAAGGTAAAGATGAGTCTTTCTCTCCAGTTTCCCCTGTTTGTGTGAATGGAAGATAAGGATTTTTCAGGGTTATTGCCTTCACCGTTGCCACTCTGCAGGAGTGGAACATTTCCTCCAGATATTTGGGATGTCATAGGCATCGGGGCATAGATTAATTTTAGGGCAAGGATTCCAGAAACTTGCAAAATACTCACTACTTTTTTTTTTTCTTCTTCTTCTTTTTTCCTGGTCTTTTTGTGGAAAACTGTTCTGAAAAAGCTGATTAGAAATGTTTTGTTGAAACTTCATTTGGTTCCAGTGGGACTGTGGCTAGTATGCTCTTGTAATGGCTGCTTGAAATTGATGAAGTGCTATCAGATAGTCGGTTGTTCTGCTGCTTGCAGACTGAAACCAAAGGGTTTGAAAGTCGGATTTGTCTGCATGAACAGTCAAACAGTTCTAAGCTGGAGATGTATTAATGAGAAATCTCTTGCTGTATTTCCAGAGTGCAGTTTGCCATGATCTGAAAAATCAGGGCTTCTTCCTGATGGTGCCAGATTTGTTTCACAACATTAATAATTCTTTCATCGGTTCTTCATCCTTCCACCTACACATTTGTGATTGTTCTGAAACAGTGGCAGTTCACACAGAAGGACTCCAATGGGTGCAAAAGCAATCCACAGAACTCAAGTGGTGGCTCTGTAATGAGGAGAGGGCTAATTGACAGTACCCCCAGTTTGTTTTCCTTCCTCATGCTCTTCTGCTGCCATCCTTCCAACCTTCACATGAGGCTTTTGAAACAATACCAGTAACAAAATGTTTTTTTAATCCCCCATAACAAAATGTCTGTTTTAATCCCCCATTCTGAAACTAAATTTCAGGCTAAACTTTTCCAGGTGCTTACTGAGCTTATTTCCAGCTCTCTTGCAGTGCTTCCATGTTAACTTACTGTTGGGAACACGCTTCTGCATGTGCCCCTGGATATATGTATATTTTTTTTGTACTGACACTGAAAGCTAATTCTTTGTTAAAACTAGTCCATGCTGCTTTTTTAGTGATGAATAAATAGTCTATGACTGCCAAGATAGGAGAAGTGAGCAGCAGGTTTGTACAGAAGTAGGAAAAAGGTTAAAGTTGCTCCTTAAGGGGAGGAAAAAAAAAAATATTGAAAGATTCAATTTTCAGTGTACTGTAACCTCAAATAAGCTTTCCTTTATTCTTAAGTGTAATGTTGCTTGTTTTTCTACAGGAAAAAAAAAAAGAGTCTAGTTTTAACTAGGGCACTCACTGGTGAGTCTGCTGACACAGCATTCCCTTAACACTCTTGCCTGCTTAATTAGGATCTGGGTTTTGTTAACTACATGGTTAGATTGTGTTCTGGAGGCTGTCTGAAGATACTAGATAATGTGTACTTGCCTGGATCATCAAAAGCTGGTGAGATGTGCACACGGGAAGTGTTTCAATGATCCCTCAAGCAAAAAGTGTGCTTTGTCAAGTGAGGGAGGAGGAGGTTGCCTTCCAGAGGGATGACTTGAGGGTCTTTAATATTTTGAAACTGGATATATCTAAACTTCCAGCCTGCTTGGAGCTGGAGTTTCTGTAAAAAGACGAAGGCTTGATTTCACAAACACGATCTCTGAACTAAATCTTCAGTTCCTGTGCGTGTACTACAGCACTGCTAACAAAGTGAAATCCTTGGAATGTTTATGATAGCCAGTGAAGTATATCATTTATAGGAACACACACTTCCCACTGTGCTTGAAGTGTTGCACGTTGTGGCTTTGAAAATGTATGCACTTTAGTGTTGCAGTCAAAGTTTTAGATATCAAGAGGAAGCAATAAAGTCAGCAGTTCAGGGTCTCGCTTGTGTTTCAGGACAAAGTTCCTTTTGAGCCTTTAAGTTGAAATGGGCTCCCTGAAATGTTGTGCAGAGAGTGTTTTAAATAAACTCCATTACAGATTGCTGTGTTTTCTTCCAGTGCACAATAATGCCATGGTTTATACCAGCAGAATAGTTTCTCAGCTGTCAGAAAGTTAGTGGGCTTTTCTTTAAGGATGTGTGTTGCTCCGGGCTTCACTGTGCAATGGAGAAACATATTCTTTCTGAAGGCTCTAATAGTACTCAAGTCTTGCTGCTGGTAGTTTACATCAGGGCAGCACTGCCTGGCTCTCATACAGTGGCCTTATCCATCACAGGTAGAGCGAGTATTAAACAGTGAGTGCTTTTTTAATCAGAACAAGAAACCTGTGTGTTTATTGCAGCTGTAGTTGTACTCATCTGTTCTGTGTGCATACAAATGTAATTATAGCTAGATACAGTACAGAACAAGACTCTGCTTGTTCTAGTGATGGTGTTGAACTTTATCCAAATGCTGGGCCATTTCTTTTTTTTTTAATAGATGCGAGGATAACAAAAACATTTTTCTTAAGCAACTTGGATTTTTCAACTAATTCTTTTGTACCACACAACTATCTGTGTTCCACCTCCCTCCCCACCCACCCCATTTAAATTGTGAATGGATTTACTTACCATAGTGTTACTATTGCAGATCCCTGACTCACACTGAAGAGGCTGTCCTTCCATATCAAGCATGGAGACTTCTGCCAACATGCTTAAAACGTTCTTTCAAGCAGGATAGGTACATACAGAATGTGTTGCAATTCCAACATGACTGAAGTTTCTTGCTTGTTTGACCTGCTAAGGAATCACAGAACCACAAGGTGGTGTGGGATTAAGGGACCTTGAAGTTCATCCGGTTTTAACACGGGCAAGAATGCCTTCTGTTTTCTTCCACTTTCCAGATCTTGATTCATGGGTAAGAAATCTGTAACAGGTAAACTGAAAGTTGAGTTGTCAACACCTTCAAATGAGGGCCCTTAGCGAGCAGAATGTGAAACCATAAGTAGAGCTGTGTAAATTGCAGACACTCACTTTCTATTAGGAAGGAGAACAGTAAACCTAGGTTTAAGAAGTGCTCTTCAGCGATACGTAATTCTTAACTAATGTCAGAAGTGGCATGCTCAGTATTGTCTTGATGGATTTACAACTTGGTAATCTGCTGCTCTGTAGCAGCTCCTCTCAGATTTTTACAACCACATAGGCACACAAAATGTCAACCAGTTGAGTAGGCAAAACTAAGGTAAATAACTTGTACTGGCTGGAGAGGGAGCAGTTATCGCAGCTGTTGGTAGAGATGGTATAGATGTGATCAGGTTGGGCATGGGTGGTATGTGCTGGACCTATTCCAAGAGATCCATGTCTTTCTTGTGCTTCGGTTCCTAGGTTTGGATGCATTACTCCAGGTAAGGCCTCATAAGGGCAGAGGGAGACAATCACCTCCCTTCTCTATTGGACACTCTTGTTTTGATGCAGCCCACGATACAGTGGGCCTTTTGGGCTACAAGCGTGACCTGTTGGCTCTTTTAAAGCTTTTCATAGAATCACAGAAACACCAAGGTTGGAAAAGACCTACAAGCTCATCCAGTCCAACCATAAATTTCATCCATCAGAACCCCCAGGTCATTTTTCCCAGGGCTACTTTCTGTGAGTTCTTCTTCTGATCTCTGTGCATACTTAGAATTGCCCAGACCCAAGTGCAACACCTTGCACGTTGCCTTGTTGGATCTCAGTAAGTTCCTGTGGATCCACTTTCCAAGCTTGTCTAGATCCCTTTGGATGGCATGCCTTCCATCTGTCGTGTCGAATGCATCGCTCATCTTGATGTCATCA